ATTGCTTCTAGGAGTGGGGTGAAATATAAGATGTTCCGAGTAGTGCAGTTTTTTGCAGTTCTGCTGGTGTTATTGCAGGAAGCTGCAATTTGTGGATGTATCTTGCAAAATTCTTGGACATGATGCCAAGTGCCCCAATTACAATGGGAATCACTGTTACATGCTTCATCCATAGCCATGTAATTTCGATGGCCAGGTCGCGATATTTCATTATTTTTTCTAGTTCTTTTTCTTCGACTCTGCCATCTCCAATTCACTAAAGGGTTAGGATTATTATTACACAGATAATAATCTCTCTTAAATGCATCCCAAAATGTATAGGGCTAGAGGGGAAACACCCCCCACCCCCAAACAAACCAGAATTGGAACACAGAGGAACCAAACAAGAAGTTGTAACCTAGGTGGACTTTAATCTGACCCTAAAACTATCTTTAAATGGCTGGGAGGAGAAGTGAAAGGGAAGCTTTGAGGCGGAAAAGGCCATAAGAAGGTAGGCAGACAATAGGAAGATGTGGCTGTAAATTCAAAAGAGGGAGGGAAAGAGGAAAGGAGGGAGGAAAATAGGAAGGGAGGGAGGGAAGGAAGAGAGGGAAGAAGGGAGGGAAATAAAAAAAAGTAGAAAGAAAAATAGGAAGGAAGGGAAGGAGGTAAGAAAATAGGAAGGAAGGAAAAAAGTGGGAGGAAGGGAGGGAAAAGGAAGGAAGGGAGATAGGAAGAAAGAGAGGGAGGGAGGAAAATAAGAAAGAAGGGATGGAGGGAGGGAAATAAAAAAGTAGAAAGGAAAATAGGCAGGAAGGGAAGGAGAGAAGAAAATAGGAAGGAAGGAAAAAAGGAAGGAAGAAGAGGAAAAAGAGGAAGGGAGGGAACTTGGGAAATTAGAAAAAAGGAAAATAAGATATGACAGAAAAGGAAGGAAGGAAGGAAGGAAGAGTGGGAAGAAGGAAGCAATAGGAGGGAAGGGAGAAGAATTAAAATAGGAAGGAAGGGGGAGAGGGGAGGAGGGAGGGAGGGAGGAAAATAAGAAAGGAGGGAGAGAAATAAAAATGTAGAACGGAAAATAGGAAGGAAGGGAAGAAAATAGGAAGGAAGGAAAAAAGAGGGAGGGAAATTAGAGAAGGAAAATAAGATATGAAGGAAAAGGAAGAAAGGAAGGGAAGAAGAAAAAAATAGAAGGAAGGAAGAGGGAAGGGTGAAAATAGAAAGGAAGGAAGGAGGGAATAGAAACCAGAAAGATGTCAGAAGGACATTAAACTTCTTTTTAATGGCACGAGGGAAGGAGGAAAGAGAGAAACGTCAGCGGGTGAAAGGAAGAAAGGAAGGAAACAAAGAAAGAAGAGAATAGGAAATATACAGTTGAGAGAAAGCACGAAAGAAGGAGATAAAGGAGGAAAGGAAGGGAAGAAGAAAAAAATAGCAGGAAGGAAGAGGGAAGGATGAAAATAGAAAGGAAGGAAGGAGGGAATAGAAACCAGAAAGATGTCAGAAGGACATTAAACTTCTTTTTAATGACACGAGGGAAGGAGGAAAGAAACGTCAGCGGGTGAAAGGAAGAAAGGAAGGAAACGAAGAAAGAAGAGAATAGGAAACATACAGTTGAGAGAAAGCACGAAAGAAGGAGATAAAGGAGGAAAGGAAGGGAAGAAGGCGAGAGAAGGGAAAGCTTACCTGCCCCTGCTTTTCTCAGGGATGTTTTCGGGGGACATCCGGGAGCCCGGGCGCTGGTGGGGGGCGGCTTGCACCTGGAAGTCAGGGCTGTAGCGGTTCGAAGCTTTGGCCCGGTTTGCCGTCGCGACCGAGGTCAGAGCCGAAGTCTGGAATGTGCTGGTGGGAGTCGGGAGGGAAGGCTGGTTGGAGACCTGGTTGCGGGCAAAATCCTGCGTGATGATTTGCTGGGCCAGGAAGGAGCAGATCCCAATAAAAAGAGGAGCAGGGGGGGAAAAAAATCACCTGTTAGCCTCCTTTCCTTTTCCAAACTCCAGCAAGAATCGAGAGGCAAATTAAAATAATCAATTCTTTTATTCTAGCTCTCAATAAGAAGGAATATTGGTAGCTCAGGGTCAAACCGTGGGGGTCCTTAGAGGTTTAGAGGTTTATTGGGATTTATATGCCGCCCTTTTCCCTGAGGGGACTCAGGGCGGCTTACAACCACAGGGGAGGGG